TGACTCAGCTGTGCAGTGCTTTAAGGAAAGGTTGAAAACCTGCTGTGAGATGCCTTTTACATGCCTCCCTTCTATTAAAATACTGAATACCGGTTATTAGTGAATATTTAATCATCCAGGAGAGTTGGTTTTCCAGGATGAAGGCCAACTTGGTCGCCGTGGGCATGTGGGGCGGTCATTTCAGGAAACTTCCGTTTGTCTCTCAGGTCCCGGGGACAGCAGAGGAGAAAGGGAAGATGCGTTATTGACAACCATGGTGAGTGGGGGGTTCTCTAAAGGCCTTTCAGGTCCCCAGGACTCTCCAGCCAGTTATGAGACGATTGATGGACACGGGCGCACATAGGTGCTCATCTGTCTGTCTCTGTGGTGGTCACAGCTGGGATGGAGGAGCTGGGGTACAGCTTGGGCACCGGTGAGTTGGAACAGACGCCAGCCCTGAACAGCAGGGCAGGCTGTGCTGGTGCCTGGCTGCTGGTGTTAGCTCAGGGCCCATACTTAGGGGCGGCAATACTGGGACGGCAATACTGCTGGGCGACACGGGGCAGGAAGACTCCCCATTTTGGTCATGGAGAGTCAGGGAGAAGCGCCAAGTTGAGGGAGGCCTCAGCTTCTTAATCTGTGCATGAAAGATGTGTCAGGGTCGGCCTCAGCTGTGATAGCAGCAAACAGTAGTGGCATGAATGAGGGAGCAGCTTATTCCTCGCAAGTAAATCAAGTTCAAGGCTCTGTGGGGGTAGGGGGCCTGGTTCCTTCTATCTGGTTGGCCCGCGTGCGTGGCTTCTGTTACCAAGGTTGCCTCGTGGCCCACACTGCCAGAGTTCTGTCCATCGCTGTCTCATTCCAAGGAGCAGGAAAGAGGAGGGAAGGGACGGCCATAGGCACGTGGCAGCTGCCTTTTAAGGAAGTTCCCTAGAAAGTGCTGCACGTGGCTTCTCCATCCATCTCATGGACCAGGACTTAGTCACAGGCTCGTATCTCACTGCATGGGAGGCCGGGAAGTGAAGTCTTTGTTCTGGGCGGTCATGTGCCCGTCTGAAAATCAGGAAGGGGCGGGGGGGGGTCTTCGGGCTCTTAGGCCGGTGCGGTGGCCGTGGTTGTTCAATGCAGTCAGCACAGTGCTTGGCCGAGGACGAGCTCTCGTTTCTGGTGGCCGTGGACATGCCCCCACTTCTCTCTGAGCTTCGCTTCCCTCTTCTCTGAAATGAAAGCCTTGTGGTTAGAGATGATGTCAAGGCCCTTCAGGAGCCTACTCTGGAGCCTGGCCAGGAGAGGGCAGTGTTGGAGAGGAGAAGGGAGCAGGGCGGTCAAGGAGCTGAATAACCAGAATCGGGGCTATAAACCAAAAACCAAACCCACTGCCGTTGAGTGACCCTTTAAGACACAGGAGAACTGCCCCACAGGGTCTCCAAGGCTGTGAATCTTCACAGAAGCAGACTGCCTCGTCTTTCTTCCATGGAACAGCTCGTGGGTTCCAGCTGTCCAGCCTTCTGGTCAGCAGCCAAATGCTTTAAGGAACACAGTGTATAAACCAGGGTTGCCCTGTCATGCTCCACCACCAACAGGGGTAAATTGCGGTCTGTACACACTGACTGGAAGGAGTTCTGGATGTGGTTAAAGCATATGGTGGTTAGCATTTGCTAACCAAAAGATTGGCAGGTTGAACCTACCAGCTGCTCTGAGGAAGAAAGACGAAGGACTCTGCTTCCTTAAAGAGTTAAACTAAACTAAACTCACTGCTGTCGAGTTGGATCCGACTCATAGTGACCCCTCCTTGGGTTTCCAAGGGGTATCACTACGGAAGTAGATGGCCCAATCTTCCTTCCAAGGAGTGGCTGGTGGGTTTGAGCCGCCAGCCTTCTGGTTAGCAGTCAAGTGCCTTAGGCACAGGCTTAGAAACCCTGTCCTCTAGGGGCGCTGTGTGTCAGAATCAACTTGATGGCAGTGGGTGTGGTTTGGGCTTTGCTTCTGTAAAGATTGACAGCCTTAGAAACCCTATGGGAGCAGTTCCACTCTGTCCTCTAGGGGCGCTGTGAGTTGGAATCGACCGCAGTGGATACACACTGGCTGTGGGAGCTTGTATGCCAGACATTTGATAATGCTATTAAATGAGAAATTACTTTCAATATAAAATCAGAAATGCTATTGTAGGAAATCCAGGAAAGGATAGAGAAGAAAAATAAAGTCACCCCTGATTCCCTGCCCAGACATAACGCTGAGTAATATTTTGCTGTGCACATCTCTTTATTTTCCTAAATATTTTTTAACATCTAGAAATGTCCTATGTTACATATAATAATAGCAAATGCCTAGCACACTGTTTGTAAAGTTTCAGCCACCATTCAAAGCATAAGGCACTCTGGTGGTCCAGTGCCTAAGGCATTTGCCTGCTCACCAGAAGGTTGGCAGTTCAAACCCACCAGCTGCTCCACGGGAGGAAGATGGGGCAGTCTACTTCCGTGAAGATTTACTGCCTCGGAACCCCAGTGGGGGTCTCTGTGAGTTGGAATTGACTTGATGGCAGGGGGTTTGGTTTGTTTTTTTTTTTTGATAGGTGGTGTCAGCCACTCTCCGAAGCACGTGGACAGGTGCTCTCATCTTCTGCATGTTGAACCTGAACGTTTAACCATTTGTCATGACCACCTGCTCCTTGTCATTAAATATTCTTTCTGCCTGGGTGGTGTGGACGGTTGCTAGGTGCTCAGCTGCTAGGCTAGAGGTTGGTGGTTTGAACACACACACAGAGGTGTGTCAGAAGACAGGCCTGGCAGTATGCTCCCAGAAGCCGTGACAGCCCCAGCCCTGTGCAGCAGTTCTGCTGTGCACGTGGGTCACCATGAGGCGCTAACAGTGACCGACACTCCTTAGCAGTACCGCGTCTCCTGGCTGTGCGATTTGGCGTTCCATTGTCAGGTGGCCCTCTTTATCCAGCGCTGACCAGTTGCATTTGGGGATTTTTAGTTTTTTGTTCTTTCAACAGAGTTCTGATGAATGTCCTCATACTTCACCTTTTCCACTCGTCTGATTATCTCCTTAGAATAACCGTCTGGCCATGGAATTCTTGGGTCGGGTGTGAGGGTTATAAAGGTTGCCATGGTCTTGACTCTCACTCCCAGTCGTGAGAACGCCCCAGGTCCTCAGCCGTCTTCCAGTGCAGCCCCGATTGGCCGGGTGCAGTTACTGAGGTCCAGAGAAGCACAGCCCCTGCTCATGGACCTGCAGCAAAGCAGGACAGGCCCAGGGAGGGAACCCAGACGCCTGCCCCTCCTGCCCTGGCACTCCTGTCCCGCCTCCGTGTGCCCTGCAGAGGGTACCTGTGTGCCTGCCCGTCTGCCTGTGGCAGATGGTGGACGGCGGGGCACCCAGCAGAGCGGGCCTTTGCAGCCATTGGTGCGGAGACGCCCGCCTGCCCGGCTCCCGAGGCGGGTTTAGCTGTGGGATGGCCTTCCCTGCAAAGTTCCATCTGGCATCGAGTTCATGCTCTTTTCTTAATTAAAGCTAACGTGGACTGTGAGGAGGCTCTTCCTTGACAATCAGCCATCATCACGGTGTGGGTTTTATGGCGACCCCAAATCACATTCCAAACATAAAATTAAATTACAGTAAAATGTCAGTGGCGAGAGGTGTGGCCAGCGTGGTGGAGGACGTGGTGGGATGAAGACGGCAGCGTGTGCTGGCCCCACGGGCCTGCGAGGGCTGGGCCTCCAGGCCTCTCACCCCACCCCTCCTGAAACCCCCCACTCCCATCACACCCGTCTCCTTGCAGTTCGGCAAAACTTGTCCTGCTCCTCTTGCCTCGGGTC